CCCCCCTGTCAAATCCCTTCCAACCCCCCTAAAGAGGGATCACCCGGCACCCTGGGACAGGAACACAGTGGGCTGTACTGGGGGCACTGGGTTGTACTGGGAGGGCACTGGGAGGGGTTCAGGTGTCCCAGGACAACGTGGCCCAGCTCCAGGAGAGATCTGGGGAACACTGAGGAGGTACTGGTCTGTCCTGGTCTGTCCTGGTCTGAACTGGTCTGTACCCCCAATCCCCAAAGCCCCTCCCCAGCTCCCCCAAGACCGTTCTGGACCCAAAAGCTCCCCAGGCCATCCCAGGCCCCTGAGTTGGTCCTGCTGCCCCTTGAGCATCTGCAGCTCCTGCAGAACCAGGCATTTCATCAGCAAATGTGCAGGTGACACCAAGCTGGGGGTGTGTTGATGTGCTGAAGGCAGGAGGGCTCTACAGAGGGACCTGTGTGAGGAAGAGTGTGTCAGCAGGAGCAGGGAAGGGATTGTTGGGCTGGAGTGAGCGCTGGTGAGGCCACCCCTGGAGTGCTGTGTCCAGCTCTGGCCCCTGAGTTGAGGAAGGCCCTGGAGGGGCTGGAGCAGGTGCAGAGAAGAGCAGCGAGGCTGAGGAAGGGAGTGGAGCACAAGTGGGGTGAGGAGAGGCTGAGGGAGCTGGGGGTGTTGAGGCTGGAGAAGAGGAGGCTCAGGGGAGACCTCCTGACTCTCTGCAAGTCCCTGCCAGGAGGTTGGAGCCAGGTGGGGGTGGGGCTGTTGTACCAGGAAGCAGCAGTAGGACAAGAGGGCTGGGTCTTGAGCTGTGCCAGGGGAGGTTTAGGTTGGATATTGGGAAGCAGTTTTTTGTGGAGAGAGTAATGAGGCCTTGGAATGGGTTGGGCAGGGAGGGGGTGGAGTCAGTGTCCCTGGAGGTGTTGAAGGTGAGAGTGGATGTGGCCTCAGTGCCATGGTCTGGGAAGCACAGCAGGGTTGGATCCAGGGTTGGAGTTGATGATCTTGGAGGTCTTTTCCAACCCAGCTGATTCTGTGATTCCCATTCCTATGGCAGCACATGCTTGAGGCTCCATCCCCAGGGTGATGGAGATGTCTGTCCATATCTATCTCCAGAGTTAGTCTGTAAATGTGTGGTGTTAGAAAAGCAGGCTATGTTCTGGGCTGGTTGTAGAAGGAGAAAGAAGCCCATAGGCCAGTGCAGGCAGGCAGCCCTGAGCTTGCACATGATGTCCCCTCCCTGCAGGTTCCTGTCCTTGAGCCCAGGCCCTGAGGTGAGGCTGAGAAGTGGCGCGGAGGTGAGCCCAGAGCTGTCCCTGAGGTGAGGCTGAGAATAAGTGCAAGGCAGAGGTGCTGCTGAGGAAGGAGAGCCCCGTGGTGGGGAAGAGGACAAAACTGTGAGTGCCCATCCCCGAGAAGGTGCTGTGTCCATCCCCTGTGTGCCAGGTGAGCTGGGGCTTTGCTGCAGAGCTGCGGGCGCTGATTTGAGCGGCTGCAAGTGCTGAGATGGTGGCACCCAGGAACACAAACTGTGCCTGGCCACGGAGCCTGCAAGGAGGAGCAGAGACAGCCCTGGCAGTGTGGGGGGACAGGTTGTCCCTGTGCCTTCCCCTGCAGGCCCTGGCTGTCCCTGCTGGGCCCCTGTCCATCCCCATCAGGTCCCTGCCCGTCCCCCCCGGGCTGAGCTCCCCCCAGGAAGGGCCGTGGAGCTGAAGCTGCTGCCATCCCCCCCTGCCGCCGCTGCCCCAGCCAAGGGAGCAGCAAAGGCAGGACCAGGAGCAGAGGCAGCAGCAGGGGAGCCCTGGGGGGGCCGGGAAGCTCTTGTGTGGGTCAGGAAAGAGGCGCTGGGCACGAGGCCGGGGCTGTGCTGAGCAGGCCCAGCCCTCACATCCCCCCAGCCAACGCCGGCTGCCCGGGGGGCTTGGGAGGGACCCCCAGCCCGTGTGCCCCACACTGAGCTGGCAGAGAGAGAGCCAAAGGACAGGGACAGTTGCTTTGCTCCCTGGAGAGTGAAGGAGGCTGGAGAGAGGGGGAAGCTCGGGCCCCCTGTGCCAAGCCAGCGTTTGGGGCCGTGCTGTTGGTGCCAAACTACCCTAGGTCAGAAGCCAGAGCCCGCCCATGTGTCAGGGGGCCCGATCCACTCCCTGCTCTCGTTTCCCTGGGGCAGCCTCTGGTGTCCCCTGACCTGTGGGGCTGTTTGGTTGCCCTGGGCACAGCCGACCCTTGTGCAGGGCTGTGCCCTTTGTGACTCTTTGGGGTGGGCAGGAGGTGTTTTTGGGGGTGCCGGGCTGGGTTGGTGGCAGAGCCCCGGCAGTGGGTGGGGGGATGTGGGTCCTCCCCCATGGTGGGTGTTGGTGTTTCTGGGTCAGGCCCCGCCGGCTCCATTGTCAGCCCGGTGCCGGTGGGGGGAACACAGTGGGTTTGGGGCCCCCTGGGAGTGCCAGGGGTGGGTGTGGAGCCTGGGAGTTGCCGAGTGTGGAGGGCAGAGCGGGGAGATGCCAGAACTGGGGGACCCCCGGCAACCTGGAGGGGGGAGCACGGAGAGGGAGGAGCACCAAGACTCCCAGGAGCCTGAAATGGGGGGCACGGAGAAGGGTAAGCTGGACAGTGGGGACCCCTGGGATCCTCGGGACAACCAAGTGGAGAACCTGGAGAGGGGGAATGTCTGGGAATGCGGCACACAGAAGGCGAGAGTCAGAGGAGAAGGGAACTTTGGGACCCTCAACACTCCCAGCATCCATAAGTGGGACCCCCAGCATCCCAGACAGGGGAGATCCTCCAAACCCCAGAGGAGAGAGAATAGAGATGAGGGATTTCTGGGAGAATTTTTTGGGGCTAATCTTCATATTTTGGAGTATATTTTTTAGTTGAATCTCAACTTTTTGCAGTTTTGGGGGGTGAGGGTCTTCTTGCTATTTCTGAGAGGGTTTTTGCCTGAATCCCAGTAGTTTGTTTTTTTCTGAGCTGAATCATGGTGTTTGGGAGGTTTTTATGGACACAGGATGCCCAGTGAGTTCTAGAGATGGACTTGGGCAGGAGGAACCCCCAAACCAACGCGATCAGCCCTTGTTTTCCCCCCATCAGGATTTGTCCTTCCCAAAGCTTGGGCGGATGGAGGAGGAGGCTGCGAGGAAGAGGAAGATGCCTTGGGCCCCCCAGGCAGGTGAGGAGGAAGTCAGTGGCCCTTTGGGCGGGTGTTGTGCTGGCTCTGTCAGCCGAGCATGGCCCCGGCTGCAGGACAACCCCGCTGCCGCCGCCGTCCTGCCTGGGCCGGAGTTGGGGGGATGTCCTTGGCCTTCCCTGTGGGCCGGAGGCAAATCCCCTCCCTGTCCTTCTTGCTTCCTGCCCCAGGCCCCAAGCTGAGGACGGAGAGCCCGGAGGACAAATCCCCCCGTGAGACCCTG